CATCATCCCATATTCACGAAGATGACCCTAGCGCATATGCCACATTTTGGTTGTATCATTATCAGTTTCAACAGATGCTACATCACCCATAACTTTTCCCTCTAACAACTTATAAATGTTGTATGCATTCCTCCTTGTTGTCATCACTGTCATTGCACCCTTTCTGACCCTCATGATGTCTCTATCTCTATCTGATCAGAATAAATAACCATTCGCTTGAAGATTACCCAGAGAAATTAAATTCTTCCTTAATTCTGGAATACAATGCACCTCACTCAATATGCGTACGCCACCATCATCCAAAGAAATTTTAATTTATCCCTTTATATTGATGGTACAGGTTTTATCATCACCTAAATAGATAAAACCAAAGTTACCTGATTTAAAAGAGTTAAACCACTCTCAGTGTGGCGTCATATGGTAGGAGCACCCATAATCAAGAATCCATGCAACAATGCACTTTGTAGATGAAACGCAAAGCAAATCCTCTTCACTACAAGAACCATTAGTCTGAACTACATTTGTTGAACTACTGTTGCTTGACTTGTTTTGACAGTCCCTCTTCCAGTGGAAAATATGCTTACAACCATAACATTCTGATGTTTTTCTGTCCTTGGACTTGAACCTCTTTTTGTTTTCAGAACTCATTGCCTTACTCTTGCCTCTGCCACGATCTTGACCTCCATTCACAAATAAACTTTCACCGAAACTTCCTTCACCTTCCTCTACACTTTGGAGACATTGTGTGTTGCAAAAGAGTGAAAGAAATAGAATCAGGCGTGTTTGTTTCCTTTCCATATGTGAGAGTGGTTACCAAGTGATCATTAGAGTTTGGTAAAGAGCACAATAAAATAATGGCTTTATCTTCATCGTCAACCTTCACACCAAGCCGTGTCAAATCACTGAGGATGTTGTTTAAAGTGTTGACATGAGCCTGCAAATCGCCTTCTTCCTGCATCTTCAGGTTATAGAGATGTTATTTCGTGAAAAATTTGTTTATGAGCGTCTTGGACATGTATTGGTTTTCCACATCATTAGAAAAAACAAACTCTTATCAAACATGCATACTTCTTCTTCATCGCGTTCCAATCAAAGGTTGTGATGTCTGTCAGTTTCTCATCACGAAGCGCCTTCTGTAAACCTTGTTGAGCTAACAAATCCTTAACCCCCATTTGCCATAAATTGAAATTGCTCGTTCCGTTGAACCGAGTCACTTCGAATTTCGCACCTTCAGGATTAACCGTCATCTGATACCAATTGTTAGAACAATAACGCGAATACATATCCGAGTAGAGAGAAACACACAAAAGTTTTGTTTATAAAGTTCGTCCAAATTGTCTATATCTGCAACTATAGAGTAGTATAGTTCCCTTTTATTTATGTCTTGTGAATTGTTAGATCAGTAACACAAATACAAATTAGAGTAGAGAAAAACACACAAAATGTATTCACGCAGTTCAGTCAAATTTGACTATAAAGTAGTTATAGTTTTCTTTATTTATGTCTTGTGAAATTGTATTGGATTAAAGTGTTACCAGTCATATATATATATATATATATATATATATATATATATATATATATATATATATATATATATATATATATATATATATATATATATATATATATATATATATATATAATACCAAATTTTAGTTTATCTAAAATCATAATCTCTATTTTCCTTCAATAAACAATTATTTGAACAACATGAGTTATATTCTCAACAATCTATATTTATTTTAATAACCTATAATTATTTCAATAATATGACTCATTTTCAATAAATTTTTTAGGCTTGACTACTCTAATAGAGTTAGTTGCTTTTATTATACTTGCAATATATAATATTTTTTACGAGAAATAATGGAGCAATACAGTCCCAAAGACCTAGTTCAATTCATGCTGTTAGACTGAACATTTTGTTCAAAATTTGAATTCAAAACCTATGCTATGTACGTGTGTGTGTAATGGATCCTTATGAGAAACTTGTTCTATAAAGTGGGTAAATATCCTCAATGAACAACTCATTTAAAAAGATTATAACTATGCATTTAGAATTCTTCAATGTGTCAATTTCTACACTTACACATTCAATTCAATTCTTAATATTAATTAATTTCATCATAAGCATCATAATAGGTCGTAATCTATCGCTATCAAATTTATATTTTGGTTATACCCAAAAAAGAAAATTATATTTTGGTTTGTTCACATTATGAATGAGCATGTGATCAAGTCAGACTGCTTTATTTTCATCTCTTTCTTCTAATGCCAAAAATGTAATATGTCTTTATAAATACACCAAACTCTAAAACTTATGCTTAGCCTCGTTTTAGCAAATAATAATTACAGTGTAATGTGACATACAGCTTCCACTCTTCTTTGATCATATTCTATTAACTTATTGATTTTGTCATTTGTGTTGGAAATAATTTATATTATAGAAATGTTTTATTGATTAAATTTGTTAAATGATATTTTAATATTTTATTATACTCTAATATTGTGTATAATAATCTAGTAATAGGTAGATTAATGTGTTTATTACTCCTTATTTTATAACTGCTATTTAATATATATTTATTTTGTCTTTCATCTCTCCTTTATACACCAGCAATTGATATATAGAGCTCCGGTTCGAATTCTACGGGGAAACACGGGAAACACGAGTGAAATATGAGGTGTTGTGTGATTGAGAATCACATTTTTTTCTGATTCTGTAGGATTTGGGAAACACTGGGTGTTAGTGAGTTTTGAGTGAACTACACAAGATTGAAGATAAACGGAAATAACGATATCAGTTCTAAGCTTCCGGTGTTTGATGGCAAAAACTGGAACCGTTGGAAGATCCATATGCGTTTGTTGTTTGGTTCTCATGATGTGTTAAATCTTGTTATCGATGACTATGTTTCATTAACAGCAGACGCTACGGAGGCACAGGAGACAACGCAGAAGGCGATAAGGAAGAAAGATCATAAAACATTGTTCTACATCCATCAGTGTGTGGATGCGAATGTGTTTGAGAAGATTGCAGACTCTGGAACAACAAAGATTGCGTGGGACATACAAGTCATATGTTACGGTGGTGACGCATCAGTGAAGAAGGTGAAACTTCAGTTCCTAAGAAAGCAATATGAGAATCTCAACATGAAGGACAACGAGAAGGTTTATGAGTATATATCTAGAGTAATTCTGATCACTAATGAGATGAAAGCTTGTGGAGAAATCCTTTCTGAACAAGTAATCATATAGAAGGTATTAAGATCTTTAACTTCTCAGTTTGATTACATTGTGGTAACAATTGAATATTCCAAAGATCTAAGCATCATGAGAGTTGAAGAGCTGCAAAGTAGTCTAGAGGCGCGTGAGTTGCGTATGACTGAGAGAACTTCTGAGAGGGAAGTAGAGCAACATGCTCTAAAATAAACTTCTGGTAAGAAGCATCATAAGCAGACTTAGTCAGAATCCAGAAAGAAAATTAATGGTGGTCAGAGGTTAGAAGCCTCAACCTCTGATAGGCAGAAGAATGTCTAGAAGGGAAAGGAGAAGTCTGAAAAGAAGAATGTTCAGTGTTACTGTTGTAATAGTTTTGGCCACTTTGCTAAAGATTGTTGGTCAAACAAAGAAGAAGCAAAAATAGCCAGAGGAGATTCAAATGATGAACATGTGCTATTAATGGCTTATGAATCTGGTGAGGAACCTGTGAGATTGTCATTTTCCGATTCTAAAGGGGAATAAGATGATTCTGAATATTCTGACTCTGAAGGAGTGTTTGAATATGAGCCAGAATCAGAAGATGACGCTGAAGATTCTGAAGATGAGTCAAAATCTGAGGTTTCTGAAGATGACTTAGAGTTAGAAGATGACTCTGAAGCTGAAGACAAGTCAGAATCCGAAGGTGATTCTGAGTCTGAAGAAGAATCAGAAGATGAGTCAGAATATAAAGGAGATTCTACTTCTGAAGATGAGTTAGAACTTGAAAGTTCTGAAGGTGAGTCAGAGTCAGAGGATGAAGAATCTTCTGGAGACTCTAAAGATGAATCACATGGTGAATCTAATTTCACTACAAGAAAAAAAGAGATTTACGACACATAAATTGCGACAGTTCCCACAAAACCGTCCTTATTCCTGAATTGCGACAGTTGTCACGACGGTTAGGCTCAACCGTCGTAGATTTTCAAGCATTATGAGTAACATAATTGCGACAGTTACCAAAAAACCGCCCTCTTTTCACATCCGCGACAATTAGGTGAACTGTCGTAACTACATTAGCCAATCATAATCGCTACTTTTTTTTATTCTTTTACTTTCCCACTTTTTTTCTTTCATTTCCCCTTCTTTTTCTCTTTTATTAATAATAATAATAATAATAATAATAATAATAATAATTATAATAATAATAATAATAATAATAAAATAAATTACCAACAAAATAAATTTTCACACCCATCAATATTATTTTAAGATTTTCATAATTTTATTTATTAAATTACAATTTCTTTTATATTTTTCTTCTTTATTTATTTAAGATTTTAATTCCATCCACATTTCTAATTTTAAGAAAGAAGTTTTATCTTTTTATCTTTTATTTTATTATTTTAAGTTAACAAATAATATATATATATATATATATATATATATATATATATATATATATATATATATATATATATATATATATATATATATATATATATATATATATATATATATATATATATATATATATATATATATATATATATATATATATATATATATATATATATATATATATATATATATATATATATATATATATATATATATATATATATATATATATATATATATATATATATATATATATATATATATATATATATATATATATATATATATATATATATATATATATATATATATATATATATGATATCACAAAATGTTAGTAATTCATTTTTTAAACAAAATATCAATTTACTTTTACAGTATCCTTCGTCCGATCCGTAACAATGGATTCATGGTCTGATCTCCAGATCAAGAAAATGGAAGCCGGTGGTAACCGCAATCTCAATTCGTTTCTCTCTCAATACGGAATTCCCAAGGAAACAGATATTATAACTAAGTATAATTCTAACGCGGCTTCGATCTACCGCGATCGGATTCAGGCTCTCGCTGAAGGTCGCTCGTGGCGGGATCCGCCGGTTGTTAAGGAGAATGCTAATACTAATTCTCGATCTGGTAATGGTAATGGTAAGGGGAAGCCGCCTCTTGCTGCTGGTTCTAATGGAGGTTGGGATGATAATTGGGGTAATGATAATGATGATGGTTATGGATCTCGCGGCGGGTGGTGGTGATTTTCGGAGGAATCAGTCTACTGGTGATGTTATGGGGTTTGGTGGAGGAGGGATTGCACCGTCGCCCAGGTCGAAGTCGACGGAGGATATTTATACAAGGACACAATTGGAGGCTTCTGCTGCTAACAAGGAAGGGTTTTTCGCGAAGAAGATGGCGATGAATGGAGCGAGACCGGAGGGGCTTCCTCCCTCGCAGGGTGGGAAGTATGTTGGATTTGGATCTAGTCCAAATCCTTCTCAGAAGATGTCTAATCAAAGTGATTATTTATCTGTTGTTTCTGAGGTTATACTCTGAATCTTGCTTTTGTTTATGGGAAATGGTTTATTGTTTGTTGAGATGTGTTTCTGTGTTGTGTGTTTTCAGGGAATTGGTAAATTATCGATGGTTGCTCAGTCTGCAACCAAGGAGATCACTGCCAAGGTAATTTGCATAGTTAGTACATTGTTTGTGAATTGTGATCCTATTTTCTATAAAAAGTACTACATCTTTTGTGTTTTTTGTTAAGCTTCTTTCTATTTTGAATTTGATGCATTTTGGTATTTAACACCACGGATCTTGGGGAAGGGGGCTGGGGATAGTAATCCGGAGTTTGGAGTTTGGTAGAGAGGGAAGTAAACCCTGACTGAAGAATGTTATTGCCAGGGATCAAACTCGGGTACTCGGGATCAGTTTGTCCTTAACCCAAACTCACAACTAATTGGCATATGAGGTGTGTCATGTGTGAATAATTTATTGATATGTAATGTAATTTTTATGTCTCCTTGGAGTTTTCCTTGATTCTGAGGATGAAGAACTATGACGAATAAAGGTTATACTGAATATATTTGAAGAGAGAATAAAATAACTTCCAATCTTATTGGCTATTGAATTCTATATTTATGTTTGATAATATATTGTTTTTAACATGTTCTAACTTATGAGATTAAGTTATGTCAGTGTCTTTTAAAAGGACATGCAGCGTGATTCTGAAAATCATTATTTATTAAAAAATTGATATTTATTCTTATGTTTAATTTGAAATTACTCTTTGTTGTAAATGATTATAAACTCAATCAATTTTAATGGATATACTGGTAATGTTGTTATTACCCGTCATGCTTTATGGAGCCACTTGTAAGCGTGAGCCTGGCAGTGACACTTACCCAAACGTTCTCTAATGGAGAATCAATTCAAAGTCAGTCCATTAGGATTGATTACAAAGGTAAACAGTCACCATTGTACTACAACCAAGGAATTATCCGAGCCTGTTTCTTACAGCTGCAAATATGATGTTTCTGCATTTCAGATTCAAAACATTCTGAACTTGCTTGATACAGAAAAAATAATTGATGGAAAACAAATGATCTTTTTGTTTGAGGAATCAATTTAGAGAGTATAAAAGTTAACATCATGTTTTTCCCTTCGATTATGTATATGTACTATGTAGGTATATCATATATATTTTGTGCTGCTGTTATTGATGTACTCCGACTCTCTAAGACAGTTTCTATATGTTGCACTTTGAAGTTTGAATTTCAAATATTCATTGCTGAACCTTTTCGTTAGGGTTTGTTTTCATTAAGATTAAACTAACCTTAAACTTCTCAGGAATACAGATCTACCTAGATCTCCTAAGGAACATAAGGAAACACTTTTGTTCCATTAGAAAAATGTCTGAGATCATTGTGTTAGGCAAACTGTTGTGAGAGTTATTCTGCCAGCCCATAATTGACAGTTAGTTTTGTAATGCAGGTACAAGAAGAAGCGCAAAATGGACAAGTAGAATTGGAAAAACATGTCATCACAAAGACATTGACTAAGCCATCTGAGGCATATTATGATGCCAAAAACCTGCCACATGTTCTTGTGAGTACAAAAATATGTTTTGTGTGAATCTTGCAGGCTGCTAGGTATGCGTAGCTTGGACCAAATGGTAGTCAAGGAAGGATCATGGTCCTAGCATGGAAATCCTTACTGTGTGAAACTTTCTTTGTTCCTTCTTTCGAGGAAGCCTTGCACTCGTCTTGTGCTTGTAATCCTTCTTTGTTCTCTCTAATAGTTCTTTTTATCTTTCATGGAGAGAGACTGTATTTGTTTCTTTCATCCTAGAGAGAGAGAGGAGAGGAAGGAACACCCTTCTCCCATTTTTAGTTTCTAATTTCTTCCCCTCTCAAGATACAAGGTTCCTAAAGTTTGTTCTATTCCAAATATGCCATACCTTGCAGGAAATAGATTGGGGATATTTATAGAAAAAGAATGAGAACTGAAGCCTTCCAAACTGCTACCATCTATCGCCATCTCCTCAAGGCAGTCAAGAAACATATTGGGAAAGAAGAGAACAAGAGACATTTTCTAGAATATGTAACCTCCGAGTTCCACAAGAACCGAAATCTGTCTGATGGTGTGGCTGTCCAACATAAAATAAAGCTTGCTCGTGATTACACTTACCTTCTTAACAACGTGCACTATCACAAGGTATTACGCAACTCTGGTTTTATTGTAATTTCCCTTCAAACAGCACTTCTATTGTGTAGGCCTGTACTGTACATTATTCCTTAGTGGTCAAATTATAAACCCATTCAGTTTAAAACTTACTGAGATATCAATATATTTAGTTGTTGTATGTATATTGCAAAATAAAAGTAAGATGTAGAAGAGGATGTTATGTGTTTTTTTTATGCTAGTGATGAGCAATTCCATATAGCCAAATTGGATCCATGCCAGAAGGAATCCTCCGCAGATTTGGCTTATAATGGATATCAATCATATCATTTTTGTTTTGATTCATTTTATGTCTGTAGTGTAAATCATTACTAGAAAAAAAACACATTTTATCTGGCTGGTTTTCTGACCATGATTCATTGTCAACAATCTTGTAGGAGTTGCTTTTCTCATATAACATCGCAGTGGATAGATCAGACGAGGTTAAAAGAACACTTGGAAAATCTGCTGCTAGTGTTGGTCTTCAGCTTCCTGAGGTTTATCGATCATAAGGGTTTGGTAGCTATTTATCAAGATAGAGACCATGAAATAAGATGAGTAAGCGTCGAGGATGAAAAAAATTGTATTATGTATGCATTAGTTCATGTTTTTTCCAATACCAAGAACTATTGTCATTGTCAAAGCTATTTACCAAGAACTTTGTTTCAGGTTAATATATTTTCATGTCTCTTCACAATGTGTTCACATAAGGGCACAATGTGTTTATTCGAGAGTAATTTGAGATTATTTTACAAATGTTTGCAATGGAAGTTCAGTTCTTAGCAATATTAGGGTGATAGAGATATGAAAGAAAAAAATGTAACACTAAGGACTTTCATGAATTTTGTAGAATATTGTAACATTTTTTGTAATTCTCTCAAGTTGTAGCAAACCAATGTAAATATTAAAATGAAATTTGGCCTTTGATGATATTTGAATTTTTCTTGTTTATTGGTAAAATTTGCACTTCTTTTTACCTTTGATCACATTTTTTTGATATTATTGATGATTATTTGATATTAAATGTTTTTATTGTAATTAACTTTATTATGTTGAAAAGTGATAGAAAATAAAATAAAAATACTATAAATAAAAAAATATTAAAGTAAATAATAATTTAAATATAATAGTAAAATATTATAGTAAAATAATATTATATTTAAAATTATTTTACAAAATAATAATTTAAATAAAAATATTATTTGAAATTTATAAATCAGATTACGACGGTTAAAACCGCCGCAATTTCTAACCTACGGCGGTAGAATAACCGTCGCAAACAACAACAAAAACAAAAAATAAAGTCAAATTCACGACGGTATATAATCGTCGCTATCTGTTGTGCGTGACAGTTTTTGCAACCGTCGCGAAATAGGCTGGGGACGCACGATTCTGCGACGGTACTTCTACCGTCATAGATTGTAAATTGCGACGGTTTTAACCGTCGTAATCAGCCAAAATAACCGTCCCAACCTATCATTTTTCTTGTAGTGTTTTGATCCAGATTTTGAATCTGGTGATGGTCATGCTTCTAGAAGGGAAAACTAGGAAGACGTAGATTCCGGAGGACAAGCTTTTGAAGATGGCCATCTTTCTGGTGGAAATCATGTCTCTGAAGGTAGACCTTCTGAATGAGGAGCTTCTAAAGGTAATCTAGCCTTTAAAGGTGGTCATGATTCTAAAAGTGGAACTTCTAAAGACAGAGCTTCTGAAGGTGATTCAACTTTTGAAGATGGTATTTTCAAAGGTAGTGGTTCTGAACGAGGTTCAGAAGCTAACAAAGATGGAGCTTCTGGTGGTAGTCAAACTTCTGAAGAAAGTCTAGAAGGAGATATTGTTCCAGAATCAGAAGGAGATTCTGAACAAGTTCAAAGGCCATATAGAGTCAGAAATATACCAAGGAGATTTGCAGAGTTTGACAAGCTGTAAGATATTGAAGAGACTCTAAGGTATGGAGTGTTATTCCCTTCTAGTGTTATATCAGATGCAGAGTTGATATGCTGTCCAGACTCTGATTGGTATGCATACAAAGTTGACAGAAGAAGTACTTTTGGATACTTATTCAAATTTATGGGAGGTCCTATTTATTGGTGTTCCAAGAAGCAACCTGTTGTTGCACTATCAACCTGTGAAGATGAATATATTGCAGGCGCTCTCATTGCATGACAAGTTGTGTGGATTTTGAACTTGCTGCAGAATCTGAAGATCGAGGTAAACAAGCCTTTGAAGTTGATGATTGATAACAAGTCTGCAATCAATCTTTCCAAGAACCCGGTGCTGCATGGGAGAAGCAAGCATATTGAGACCAAGTATCACTTTATGAGGAATAAGGTTCAGAGTGAAATATTAGAAGTTATGCATTGTAGCACCTAAAATCGTCTGGTGGACATTCTAACAAAGGCTATCAAGACTGATCAATTTCTTCGTTTGAGGGATGAAATTGGTGTTTTTAGTTTTGTGTAAATATAAATTAACGGATGGTGTTGGAAATAATTTATATTTTAGGAATGGCTTGTTGACTAAGTCTGTTAGAGGGTATTTTAGTATTTTATCATACCTTAATATTGTGTATGATAGCCTAGTAGTAGGTAGGTCAATATATTCATTACTCATTATTTTGTAGCCTTCGTTTTATATATTCCTTTTGTCTTTCATCTCTCCTTTGTGCACAAAAAGTTTGATCTCAAATCCTTAGGACAAGATTTACTAACTTACAATATGGACCAAACGAGAGTATCAGACATTAGACATATCTTCAATTAATAGTGTTGGTTCTACGAAGTTTCTCACCCTTTATCTCATCTTTTTATAACCTATTTACCTCTTTACTAATAATTTGATTTGACTACAAATCAAAATCTGTTTTGCAGGATCACAAGCAAAGAATTCCTTATGCATAACATGAAGATAATAATATTTCATGGAATAAGCACATGAGCTTAATGGTACAATTTATCTAACTTTTCAAACAAGAACAAACTTAATTAATGTCTCATATTTGTAAGCATACTTTCTTTTCTTTTCAATTTAGGTTATATAATCATTTTATTCAATGATGATAGGAAATTCATATGGAAATGGTAACATACAAGTCTCCACAAGGTTGAACTTGAACCATAAAAATGTGATTGTAGCAAGTAAAAATGAGCATAAACATGAACTGTTTGTTACTATAAGATATTAAATGGTAGGAGGAGGTGCAAGGGGAGGAGGTGGAATGGGAGGAAGTGTAAGGAGAGGAGGTGGAACGGGAGGATGAAGTGCAAGGGGAAGAGGTGGTGCAAGGGGAGGAGGTGGAATAGGAGGAAGAGGTGCAAGGGGAGGAGGTGGAACGGGAGAAGGAGGTGCAAGGGGAGGAGGTGGAATGAGAGGAGGTGGAACGGGAGGAGGAGGTGCAAGGGGAGGAAGTGGAATGACGGGAGGTACAAAGGGAGGAAGTGGAAGGGCAGGAAGAGTGGTGGGTAGAGCGGAAGCAAGAATGATCGGAGGTGGAATTATTGGCAGTGAAATTGCCAATAACAATAACAATGACAGGAACAATGGGTCTAATAATTCTACAACAACATTATCTACAGGGACTTTTTTTTGTGTCTCAATATTAATTTTATATGTGATCTTTTGGATTTGACCACACTTCCACTAATTAAGTAATATCATGTTTAGTTTTTTTTGCATAGGTCTGTGTTATTCTTCTCTAATTTACTGCTACTACTAAATGTATATTTTGGCCGCAATTAATAGCATGTTTTCTGTCATTTGTAAATGCAGTATGAATGGATCATGTATGAATATATGCGTGTTGCTGGAAAAAAAACTAGGACTATGTTTTTCGTAATTTTGTGATCACGTACTCTGAAAGCCACCAAAGTCTTAAGCCAAAACATATTAACACATAAATAAATGTGAATCCAGGTACTCCAATTTCAATACCAAGAACCCGCTAACAGATAACACACTAGGAGAAAAACATAGACCAAAATTGGACCGTGGGACAAGAGCTAGACATTAAAATCAAGATCTTGCATGAGGACAAAATAATAAGATCGTAAAACATATGATCATAGTTAAGGTTGGAAAATTCTACCAAATTATTTTTGCAAGATCGAGGAGTTAACCTCATTATTTTCATAGTTTGCTCCAATTCTAATAAATGATGTTGGAAGACTTTTGATTTAACTACCACCTCATCAAATTTAGCCTTCTACAGAATGAAATCAAGAAATATGGTATTCACAAAATAAAAAATTTAAAAAATATTCATAACCCTTTAATATCTAGCTTTACCTCTCTTAAGTCTTAATGACAACGATCCACTTATATATTTCAAGTGCACAAGAACACACTAAAATTGTTTTATGAGTACATTCATAAAACCAAATTCTTTTTTAAACCAAGAAATAATGGGGCACATATAACATTTTCGTGATCAAGAGAAATAAATAAGAAGAAGCAGAAGCTCAAAGAAACAATAGAATAATATTTGTTAGGCAAAATATTCATTTTAGTCCCTGTTGTACCTCAATTTTTGCCCCTAAGATCTCCTCATCATACCACGTTGATTCCATCACAACAAGATCACATTAGGATTCTTAGTTCCCCTCCCTATCTTTAGCTTTTCTCTTTGAGGAATCACCAAGTACCTTGACTTGTGTTCTTTTATGATCATGAATATTTTTGTCTTGATTTCTTCTTTTAATTAATAAAATGCAATGTTGGTTTGTCTTGCTTGTTACTTATGTAGGTAAAGGTGTTGTACCCCAAAATTTTCTCTCTCGTTGTACTCAAAACATACTCCTAGAGATCCTCAATTTGCTCAAGTTTGCTCAAGAGTTGATCAGACAAACTCTCTCCTAAGGCAATATACCTCAAATTAGGGTTTCCTTTTTCATCAAAATGTGTGAACTACAAAGGACTCAAATGCTTCCCAAGGTCCTAATATGTTCCCAAGATCATCCACGTCAAATTTCATGCCTTGTACAAAAAGTTTGCTCAGTCAACTGCTCAGATGCTTGAGAATCGACTGTACTAGGTCAAAAGTCAACGGTGGCCCACATAGAAATGCTAAATTCAAGCACAAACTTGTGTTCTTAGTTGATGGAATTCGTTAAAGTGAAAGGAGTAATTGGAAAGGGTTTGGATGGGCAATTTATTGTTGAATCTAAAACTAAAATTCATGGACTTAAGCGACATTGAGTGTTTAATAAGGAGTTTGCAGATGATGCCTTCTTTGTTAAAAGAAAAGTTTAATTTGTTGACTTTAAATCTTAAGTCAGAGCATATAGACGATGATAGCTAAATTGAATGATCAATCATCTGAGGTGAGTTTCTTCTGTAATTTTTTCTTGAATTTTAGATGAATAATATTTTAAATGACCTATTCTATTTTTGTTACCAACCTGTTTTAAAATTATCTTCTTTTTTATTCTCTTAGTGTGTGCCTCATGTTGTTTCTTCTATAGGATATTTTAAGAGTTTAGCTTAAAGCAGAATGCTTGGTAACAAGTTTATTAAAAGAAAACAAGTTCTCTAAAGAGCTCCAAGTTGAGCAAATGCGACCTGCACTTGCAACAAAAAAATGGGTAACAATATACTTAAGTCTGAGGTACAAAATACATATGACAACCTTTCAATGGTGTCTCATGAGTTGAATAATCTTGAACTTCAGGTTTGTTACCAGTATTGACATTCATTGATTAAATTCAGTTAATGGAGATTTTTTCATGTCTATTTATTTTATTCTATTGTTAGTATTTGAAAGTTAAACTTATTTTCTTGTGTTCTACTGTATCAGATGTTGAAGAAAGATGAGCGCATAAATTGTCTTCAAAGTAATTTTGGCTAGTCTAGCGGGAAATTAATAAGCACGAGAGCAGAGTTGCATAAAGTGTTGTAGGAGAGAGAACATATGTCAGAGAAAATGGAGCAATTTAGAGAGTAGAGTATGTTGTTAAAGTCACAGGTTGATAAGCTGACATTGGATATACCGACACTTGATGAAGATTTACTTATGAAGGAATGTCAAATAACAATGTTGAAAGATTCTTTAAGCAGATCCCTTTGATAATCTCCTTTAGGGGACCTGATTCTGTCCATGGATTTTTGTTTGGTTAATTGCTGCTACAAACAAACTTGGTTGTTGATTTCATTGTTCATATCCACTCATATCTGTGAATTAGGGACATCTTTTTTAATTTCTTTTCTTTTTAAATTTAGCTTTCACAAAGACAGATTTTTTCTATTGGAAAGAATAAATCAGTCAATTTAAGATTGAACAAAGAAGTTTGCTTGACACAATAATGATACGGATTTTGCTTTTGTGGATAGTTCCATACTTTTTATTAATGTGACAAAAAATGGTATTACTCATCATTATGTCATTTTCATGTGTTGTGCCTAATCTCATAGCGCATGTTGTACCAACGACACTAGAATATGATGTTATCCTCACAAAAATGGTTACAGTTGTATATTGTTTAATTGATTATGAACTCTTGTATTTTTTTAAACAAATATATAAAATAAATTCAAGAATATATAAAATGGTTAATATTGTTCACATAAATATTTAATGCAATTTAGTTGATGATTAATGAATATAACAATTTGTTTAATTTACTAACTATCAATTAAATACAATTAACTTCACTTTTGAGTGTCTTTAATTTCAAATTCTAAAACATTTGAATGTATATTTAAAAACATTGAGTGTCTTTAATTTCAAATTTAAATTTAAATTATATATTTATAGACACATTGTATTAAATGATTATAATATATATTAAAACATCTGAAAATTATGTATATTTAAATTTAATTTGCTGAGTTTCTATCAAAGTAGTTGAATAGAACGATTTTGTATTTTTTTTTCCATCAAAGTCGATATCCAATGAATGTTGAAGCAAGGTCAAATTTTGCAGATATTCATAAGCATACATAAATTCTTTTAGATGGCTAACAAGTTAAGATTGTATTAGTGTGATACGCACATTTTTTTACAATTAATCTTTAATATATATATATATATATATATATATATATATATATATATATATATATATATATATATATATATATATATATATATATATATATATATATATATATATATATATATATATATATATATAAAGTACTGATTTATAAAATTTAGTATATATATATATTTTAAATTAATAAAATTTATCGATTAAATATTAATAGAAACATAAAATTATTGATCAAAATATTAAATATTAACAGAAATATAAAGTTATTGATCAAAATTTTAAATAATAATATGATAATTTTACTATTGAATAAAATTTTGTTTACAATAATTTCAAAATAATAATAATATTTATATAAAAATCTATATATATTATTGTTTCAAATATTTTTATATATTAAAAAAATTATAAATACTAATTTATTTTATTTTTTAAATTATATTTTATTTTTATTAATATTTTAAAAATAAATGTGCGAACTATATGAGTTTTCGTGTGAAAGCACACCGTTATTCCACTAGTTATTATGGTATTATAAGACAACACTTTGTACGTGTGGCACACGTGTAGAGACTTTTTCAACAAAAGAAAGAAAGAACAGAGCACGTTCTTAGTTTCTTCTCACCCTTTTCTTCCTGAAACAAACTTTGAAAAATATTCATATAAAAACCCCTTTTACCTAACCAACAACAGAAACAATTCAAAACCAATTTAGCAGCATATAGAATCTGGAAATTATTCAAAGCAAACTCAGAAACTTTAATTCCCAATTATTTGCAAATCCTTTGGATGAAGGTCAAATTTGTTTCATTGTTACTAATAATTATTTCAGGTGTTGAAGCAATATCAAGTCAAGATTCCAATATCAATGAACAAGCACATGACTTTAAAGGTACAATTTCTTTATCTTTTCAAAGAAAGTCAAATTTTCTTTTTTTTACAAAGTCAAACTCAGACTTAACCTGAGTTCTAAGACATTTGTTAGCATTCTTTTTTTTAAACTTTGTTTTTATACCTTTGTTACTCGATGATAGGGAACTTAGATGGAAATGGAAACATAAAGGTCTCTACGAGGTTGAACCATAAAGTTGCGATTATGGAAAGTAATAATGAACACAGACACGGACTATCTGTTACTATAAGAAAAGGAGGATCTGGAGGAGGAGGAGGAGGAGGAAGGGGAGGTGGAAGTGGCAAAGGAAGGGCGGTGGGTGGTGGAGCGGCTGCAGGAGTTCTCGGAGCTGGAGTTATAGGTGGTTCAAGCGTCTATCACGGGAGTCATCACTCCAACAATTCTGCTACATCATTATCTGCTGTGCCACATGTTTGTGTCTCAGCATTTATTTTATGTTTGAGTTTTTGGCTTTAATCACATTGTTTCACTTCCACTAGGTAAGTCACATGTGCAATTGCTTCTGTATAGCCATACATTAATCTTCTTTATGTCCTTACTGCTACTAAATGTATATTTTGCCCATAATTAATATCATGAATCATGATTGCTTGTGAATTAGTTTGTGACCTCCACCTCAATGCTAATACGCTATATATAATGTCATTCATAAATATCATTTAGAAATATAGTATCAACAGATGTATGAATCTTTTCATGTTGCTGGAAATAAAAGAACATTAATACTCTAGCCAAGGTAACTAGATGCAAATATGTAAATGTTGAACTTGTGAATTGTAAGGTTATTTAATGATAATAAGAAGCAGACTAATTTTGAATTTGACAGACATATAATCCATTATTTATTTTTTTCTAGTTTGAATTAAGTACTAAAATGATTGAACTATTTCATGAAGAGATTGGCACATGTACCAAAATCATTTGGAAAAGAGTTTTTCTTTATCAGTAGGAATTTGGGGTTTATCAACTACTAGTACTAGCGCTGGACATCGATGCTATTTTCAAAAAGTTTGATCAAATGTCAATTAGACGGTGCTAAAAATACTATTGCTTCAAACAATTGACAATACAAAAATACAGTGTCGAAATCAAAAGTGTATAATTGATTTTATTGTGTTTGATGTTGTTTTAAAATAAATTTGACTAAATTTATAATAAAAAATAAAATTTATAATATTCAAATTTAAATATAATTTTTAGTGCTCAAGAAGAATTCATGAAAAAAAAACAAGCTATTGATCCAAATACAATAAATAGTTTTTTTCTAGTTAGATACATGATTGTGACTGGTTGACCGTATAAAATTATTTTATAGTGTCTGTGCATCATTTGTTTTCTCTTATACTTTTATATCAAGAAAATATACAACAAAAAGTATATGATTGATTCAAATACGAGAAATATCTGATTTGTTTCAATAATTTATGTATAGTATATATTTGATAGATATTTTATCATATATGTATTGGAGGAGGAGAGAGTGTACCTGCAAGGCGCTCCAATGTTAAAGTCAGTAGGAGCACAAAGAGATATAAGATAAAAAGTCTAGAGTTTTAGAAGTATGTGATAAACATTGAATATCTGGCCATCGCGTGTGTGAGGGTTTATATAATGCTCCGACGCTTGATCATTGGTTCCTATTTTTGGACCTAGATATGCGGGACCGTAAAAATAGATAACTTCCAGGACTGGATCTAAACGGGAAGGTGTGTCTGTAACTAGCCGTTGGTTCTGAGGAAGAGGTGGATTACAGGTAGATGGTCGTTATGGGCATTTTCTGGTTGTCTGCTCGACTCGTGTCGGGCAAACATGGAGGAAGTTTCCGCTGCGGACAGATGCGTCTTGGACGTTTCCTGGTTGTTTGTTCCACGCGTGTCGAGCAGACCTGGAGGTGGTTGATGTAGGCAGGCATAAGGATGCCATGAATTAGTTGTAATGGGCAGAGATGTTGGTCGTTACGACGGGCAGAGAAGTGTTCACGGGCAAGCGTGATTCTTGCCATTTTTGGATCATTGTCCACGTGTGGCTGGCAGGATGAGGACTAGCCTGTTTGAGCGGGAAGTTGTGATCTCGTTGATCCTGGGGGGACAACCGGGCACGTGTCCCGAGCTGAGGGGCAGAAGTGCTGCTTAGAGCAGATGTGGTCTCTTTGATCTTTGGGGACAATCCACCACGTGTCCCCGCACTACTACAAAAAAAGGAAAAGACAACGCTTTTTTTGGCCTTTAACAGCGCTTTAAAGCGCTGCCTAAAGCAGCGCTGCTAAAATAAAAGACAACGTTTTTTTTTCAACGTAAAAGCGATGCCTTATGTCCACTTTAGACAACGCTTTTTAATTTTTTCCAGACAGGCTTTAGACAACATTTTCCTTTGAAAACGCTGTCTATTCCCCCACTTTAGACAGCGCTTTCAGACTTTAGGCTGCGCTTTTTGTTTTTTAACTTTTTACAGCGCTTTTCTCCTAAAGCGTTGTCTATTGTTTACAATTTTTTTTAAATAAATTATCTATTTTAATCATAATTTTTATCATATTTGGTAGCTTCATTCCAATATTTTGATCCAGGTTTTCAGAGTTATCTTTTATGCTCCATATTCGGTAGCTTCATTCCAATAAAATATACATATATAAAAATTGCACATATATATAAATTGATGATATAGACAACAACAATTACAAAATTTATGATACAAGTTAAAATGCCTAAAATATTCAAAATTGAATTTACATCTAAACATCTTTCTATCTTCGAGAATTCTCATGAAGCAACAACAACATGAATATCTTAGCTCTATCTTCTACACATGTACCTATAAACCTGGAAAAAAAACCAAATGATCGAAATTCATGACATGATAATATATATTAACGTTGCACTTTATTAATTCGAATTTAATTTATACTCAAAACTTGAAATTTCTCATCAAAGGAAATAAGACAATATACCTTAGCTTATAAAATTCTCAACCCGATAATGAATTGACACCATTCATCCATAAGTTCATCCAATTGATCTTTTGAGTAATGTGCACAATTGAATTCCTCAAAGTACTACATATATAATAATATAACATAGTATGTGATTTAGTTAAAACAATATGTCATTTTATGAGAAACACAAAATATGAAAATAGTATGTAATTCCTAAGGTAGAAATCCATACCGTGGATGGAATCTCTAATCGATTCAAAAGAATAGCTGGCGAGGAGGACACTACACATGAAAAGAAAATACGAATATATGTCAGGATATACCCCAAAAAATATATATAAAATGACAATGCCAAAAATTAACATAAACATAAACTTAAATGTAAACACAAACATAAACATAAACATTTTAATATCTTATCTCTTTCACTAACATCTCTTTCTTTTGTTGGTTGGTACATGAATTACGTGCTTCTTAACAATGCAGACGGATAGATTTATCCAAATTCCCTCATTATGATCATTTCTGATATATGATTCATCCGCTATAATATTCTCATCTTGATCCTTTATAATATACGACTCATTCCGTCTAATACATGACTCATTCTCATCATCAATACCACATTAGTCTACACCATTATCATCAACCACTTTGTTAGAAAAAAGCACTACATACCATTTTGTACTCGTCGGGTCAGTGACATAGAACACTTGTTTAGCTTGAGAGGCTAGAATAAAAGGCTCTTCTTTGTACCCCTCTCTATGAAGATCCACTTGCAAAAATCCTGACATATCCATTCGTATGCCACCATTTTCATAAGGGCTAATAACTCTGTGAAACTTTTATCTGACCATCCATTGCCCGCCTTTAAGTTGTACAACTTTAATACTGCAGACAGTCTTGTGAATTTAGTGCACCCTTTATACAACGGTTTCTCTGCATTTCTTACCAATCTCTTAAATATTTTGGGACAATCCTGAAGATCTTTTTCAAGTGCATCTGCAATCTCTTCGACTCGATCAAAATCATATATATCTGTGTCCTTGTCGTCTGAAGCATAGGTTGTACTACTTTTCTCCCCCGGTTCAACGTTGTCGTTACTTTTTTCACCGTGAAATATCCAACATGTATAATTTCTATCAATTCCACGCATTAGTAAATGCGATTTCAATCCATCTGCGTTAACCCGACCCACATAACAACAACCCAAGCAAGGACACTTCATTCAACGGGGGTCTTTGGCATGTTCAACAACAAACTTAACGAATTCCAATACCCCATTCTCGTATTCTTGTGATAATCGATCAGCAAACATCCATTTTTTATCCATTTTTTCTACTTATTCAAGTAAACAAAAACACTATAAACGGATTATTCTCTTTTTGTTTGAATTATACGAATTATTTCTAGAAATTTATTTCTAGAATTAATAACATGGACTAAAAATAAATATATCTATATAAAATTCAGAAACCATTTAAAATAACAAAAAAACCCATCATATATATCATCTTTTATATTCCAAAACATAGAACCAAGAATCCAAAAAATGCTAAAAATGCTAAATGCTAAAAATGTTGCTGTTATATATCAAGCCCTACCAAGAATCCAAAAATTAAAATGCATACATATAACTCAGTTTAGACATCAATAGGAGATAAACACATTTGGAAATCAATGGATATTAACACATTTTTAAGGATGATAACTCAGTTTGGACATCAATGGAGTTAAACACATTTTCAATAAAGAACATACCTTGAGAACCGGCCGGTGTGGGTGGAGGAAAACAGAGCGAGACGGTGGAAGACGGTACGACGGCGAACAGTGAGGACGATTTGAGATGGAGACGGAAATGGGTTTCGCGAGGGAAAGGGTTTCTGTTTGCGTGTGATAGTGATAATGTGAATACAAATGTTTGGTTTTTTTAATTCTGACTTATAAGGGTTTAGGCATCGCTTTCTAAAAGTGCTGTCTAAAGTGGACCTTAGACAACGCTTTTGAAAAGTGCTGGCTAATAGTGACCTTTAGCAACACTTTTCTATTATTTTTTTAATTTTTTATGACTTTAGACAGCGTTTTCTTAAAGCGCTGTCTAAAGTGGCCCTTTGCCAACGCTTATGATAAAGCGCTTTCTAAGGCAATCCTTTAGCAGCGCTTTTTAAAAGCGCTGTCTAAGGTCATATGTTTAGCAGCGCTTTTACTAATTATTTTATACGTTTTCCGTGTTTTTTTATTCACTTATAGCAGCGCTTTTGTACAAAAATGTTGTCTAAGGTGCGCTGTTAAAACTTACTTTTGGCGTAGTGCCGACTGATGGGCAGAAGTAGTTGTGGGGGGCAGCAGTGGTCTCTTTGGTCCTTGGGGGGAAACCGACCACGTGTTCCCATCTGGGGGGCATAAGGGAAAGGTGTCCTTTGTCTGCTTCAATTGATTTGGCCAAAGTTGTTGGGCCATCTTGGATGTAGAAGTAGATTAGGCCATTCCTAAACATTTGGCCATACTAGAACATGAGCCCCAAGTCGTTGCTTCTACGCATAAGAGTGATATATTGTTATTTATTAGGTTTATACATGTTTGTATGCTTGTCTTTCTGAGACGTTTTATTTTGATTAAGAGTTTCGGAGGTTTGCTTGTTAGTATTTGAGTTTGCCAGTGTGGATGACTGGTCAAACAACCAGGGTGATCATCTGGCATGGGCCAGAACTCATATCTCGTTTTGAGGGCCCGAGCTCGGCGGCGTGAACATCCCATCGTGATCTGGGTGTTCTGCCATCCTGGTACGACGATGGTGGAGCTCGTTTGAGTTTTCCAAGTCGGGCTAAGAATTTTATCGTTAAAAGAGTGAAGACCTGCCTCTTTGTTTAATTTGGAGTGTCATGCTTGTACCTGGGCATGCACATGTGGTCGAGAAAACTGTGTTCGCTGTTTCGACGAGACACGCTAACTGTATTCGTGTCTTAACTATAATATTGCCTTAGTTTTTCGGTGTTTCAAGGTTGAGCAAGTTGTTCCTTGTGCAGGTTTTCGAGATAGTATGCCTCATTTTCGTTTTTACTCAGATGCAATAGTATCTCTAGGATGACGAACTTGTTCCGCCTTTCTTCTTCGTGCTCGCGAGCTTAGACAGGATATCTGCTCGGGTGTTGCGGTCGCGGGGAACATATGCCAGTTATACTGGTGTGTTTGTGGGGAACGTATGCCTGTTAGGCTGGTGTGTTTACGGGGAGCAGATGCCTGCCAGGTTGGTGTGCTTGCAGGGAGCAGATGCCTGCAAGGCTGGTGTGCTCGCAGAGAGCGGATGCCTACAAGGCTGGTGCGCTCGCGGGGAGCGGATGTCTGCCAGGATGGTGTGCTCGTGGGAAATGGATGCTTGCTAGGCCGGTGTGCTCGTGGGGGAGCGGATGCCTGCCAAGCTGGTGTGCTCGCAGGAAGCGGATGCCTGCCAGGCTGGTGTGCTCGCCGGGAGAGGATGCCTGCTCGATTGACGTGTTTGCAGAAATGGTTCATTTATGTGCTCCGCTTATCGGGGAGGATGGTGAGGTCATTTCTGCTGTGATGTCGAGCATTATTGGCAGCCACTTTCTCCTTATATTGCAGGTACGCCTGAGCTTTGAGGAGGAGGGTGTCTATTATGGTTGGTGTTTCTATGCCAACTTCTTTAGCAAAATCGCTGCGGGGGTGCAACCCTCGCTCGAGCAAGTACTTTTTTATATCGTTAGTCAGGGAGACCTGAACGGCTTCTTTGTTAAACCTCTTAATGTATGCTCGGAGAGATTCTTCTTTTCCTTGTATGATCGCTTCTAGCAAGGCCTCTGTCTTCGGATGACGACGTGAGACAGTGAAGTGCCTTGAGAACATATTCCCCAACTGCTTCCATGAGATGATGGATTCATTAGGGGGGCTTTTGTACCAAGACATTGCCGTTTTTCTCATAGTTGTTGGAAACAGTCTGCACTTGATGGCACCCCTGACACCACGGTAGTCGAGCAGGGCATCAACGTTCTCGATGTGATCGTCAGGATCAGTTGTCCCATCATATGTTCTCAAGTTCGGTGGTTTTTCTAGTCCGACGGAAAGGGGAACATCCATGATAACCCGAGATAATGAACCACAGGGGTCTTCCTTGTTGCTCCAGCTCGGTGATGGTGGTAGAGAATAGTTGTGCACCCCTCGTCGGGAACAATTGTCTCATCGAGGAGATGGGATTCTCGATATGCCCTTCGGTTTCTTGACCATCGGGGAGAGTTGGTCTCTACGAGGAGGGGTGTGATCACACTTCTTGATAGCCAAGAGACGGATTCTTTCTTGCTCCCGGCAGTGATCCTGTCGTCGAGGAGACAGGCCGTGTGATCTTTGTCGATGGTGCCTCTGCGGGGGAGACTTTGATCGATGAGAATTTTCCAACACCAACATCCTCTCATTTTTTTTGGCGGATTAGAGAGTTGGTCTATTTGAGAGCTACGAGCAGGGCAACCATAGCAGGGCAACCATAGCAGGGTCGGTGTTGGTCGGAGCAGGGATTGTCTGTGTGTTCTCCGATGCTCCTTCTTGAGCCTTCTTGATCTTGTGAGTCTCGACGCCGACGTCTCCAGCCTCGTCAAAGGAGTGTTCACGGGCAAGCGTGATTCTTGCCATTCTTGGATCACTGTCCTCGTGTGGTTGGCAAGATGAGGACTAGCCTGCTTGAGCGGGAAGTTGTGGTCTCGTTGATCCTGGGAGGACAACCGGCCACGTGTCTCCGGCTAAGGGACAGAAGTGCTGCTGAGAGCAGATGTGGTCTCTTTGGTCCTTGGGAGCAACCGACCACGTGTCCTCGACTGATGGACAGAAGTAGCAGTGGAGGGCAACGATGGTCTCTTTGATCCTTGGTGGACAACCGATCACGTGTCTCCGACTGAGAGACAAAAGGGAACGGTGCCCTTTGTCTGCTCCAATTGATTGGGCCAAAGTTGTTGGACCATCTTAGATGTAGAAGTGAATTGGACCATGTCTAAGTATTTAGTCAGACCAGAACAATGTACAATTACAAATATGATAATAACATATAGTTGATCCAACTAATTTTATATAATAAAAATATATATGATTGATCTAAATGTTTTTATAAATGATATTATTTTTATATATAAAAAAGAACAAATTTACTATAGATTCAAATATTTTTTTAAATAATATTAAAACAAAAATAATAATTATATATAAAAAATATTATTAATTCAAATATTTTTATATAAAAAAAATTATAAACACTAAATTATTGTTATTTGAATAATAAACTCTTTTAGTTATTCAATTTTATTTTTATTTTATTTTATTTTTAATACATTACCCCACAAAATTTTACCTGTAAAAGATATTAAAAGACTAACTTGTGGAGGAATGTTTAGTGGTACTAATTAAATTATCACTTGTGTGTTGATTGTATATAAGAAAAAATAGTTGCAGTTTTATAAATTAGCGATCATAATCTTTTATCAATTAAAAACAATAATAAAATCACAATAATGGCATAAATCTAATTTAAAACATATTCCCTAAATTTGGCAATGATTGCAATTATATTTATAAGACAACATTTTTTACGAATGCCCCGCGTGAAGAGAATTTTTCAACGAGAAAGAAAGAGCAGAGCACATTCTTAGTTTCTTCCTGTAACAAACTTTGAAAAATATTCATATAAAAACCCCTTTTACCTAACGAACAAACAACACTAGAATTCATAACCTGTTTATCACGCTCTAGAATCTGGAAATTCTTTAAAGCAAATTCATAAACCTCAATTCCCAATTATTAGCATACCCTATTTATCTAACATGAACCTCAAATTTGTTTCACTGTTACTAATAATTCCCAACTGATCTATTGATGGGGTCAACTATCGCAAATAATCACATTTAACTAATTCTAATAATGCTAGTGTTAGAACTATACCATAATCTGCATTGTGGCATTTTTTGTCCGTCAAAATATAATATACGGTGTTAGATGGTAACATGGACCCAGCTAATAAAATGAGTTTGGTAACATGGGCCCTGCTAATACCATTACACAAAATAAAACACAAGATGAGAAAAAAAATAAAGAAAGAGGAGAACCACAAACTTTTAGATGAAGCTTCAAGTTAAAATAAAAAAGGAACGAAAAAAGTTTTTGGTTATTAAGGATAATACATGTCAGCTTACACTAATTTGTAGTTATTGGACCCGTTTTTAGTGGTCCACACTAGATGCCCCACATGAACTTTGGACAGGCCTTTGTTTTTTTCCTTCTTATTCTGTCTACTTAAAACTACTTTTCCCTACATTTCATGTTCTTAGTTTCTCTTCCTTTGCTTCAAAGAAAATAGGAGATCCCAAATTCCAATAATTTGCAAGGAATCACCACTCCCTTTTGCCAACCACTTAGGCATAACATGAAGCTAATATTTCTTGCAATGTTCCTACTGATCATTTCAGGTGCTCAAGCCATATCAAATGAAGATGAAGATTTCAATATGAAGTTCACTTCAGAAAACAGAAGCATTATCCAAAGCAAAGAACAAGCACGCAATCTTCTTGGTACAATTTCTTTAACTTTTCCAACAAGCTCAAACTTAATTTTTCATACGTTTTGTCAAGAGTGAATGTAGATGAGTTTATAAGTGAGAGTTTAGGTGTTTCATATTTGAGTTAGATTCAACCTTGATTTTAAGATGGTATTAGAGTCTCTCAAGGATCTGTTGGTCATCTCCTTAAGTATAAGGAAAAATCTCTTACTTTATAAGTTGGTTTTGTATGAGTAATTTAGGTTCAACTTGTAAGCATAACTCCTTTTCACTTTTGCTTTATTACTTTTGTTATTCAATGGTAGGAAACTTGTACGGAAATGGTAACATAGGAGTATCTACAAGGCTTGTAGAAAGTAATAATGAACACAAACATGAACTATCTGTTACTATAAGAAAGGGAGGAGGAGGGGGAAGGGGAGGGGGACGAGGAAGGGGAGGAGGAAGCAGGGGAAGATTCTTCGGAGGTAGGGCAGGTGGTGCTGCGGCCACTGGAGTTGTTGGCGCTGGAGTAGGCGCTGGAGTTGCTGGCAGTGAAAGCGCCAATCATGGGAATCACCACTCTAAAAGTTCCGCAACATCATTAATGGAAGTGTCTTGCTTTTCTGTCTCAATATTTATTTTATGTGTGAGCTTTTTGCTTTAATCACATTGTTTCACTTCCGCTATATCATTTCTTCACTACTATTACTACTACTTCAAATGTATATTTTGGCCACAATTAAGAACATGTTTGTTTGCTTGTTGATTAGTTTGTGTCCTTCACCTTAGTGCTATAATGTCATTCATTATTTTACTAGGAAGTGTAGTATGTATAGATGTATTAATCGTTACATGTTGCTTGGAAAGAAGAAATAGAATCTTTGTATTTGCAGTTACCTTACAAAAAAAAAAGGCTGGCCTACTCAAAACTTTCCACATCATAGGGAGTCATCTTAAAAAAAGGTGCATTGATTATCACATTTGAATTTGACAGCCAGAAAATCTAAAATAGGTATGAAAGTGATTGAACTAGCTTTATGGACAGATACTTTGTTTTAAACATTGGACCATGTCTGCCAGAACACATGATGCACCAAAATCATCTGGAGAAGAGTTAGATCAAAATCATGAGGTTGGTTAGATGATAAAGACATAATTTGGTTACTCTTCTTCCAAACTTTTGACAAAAGTAAAAGTAATTGAAAACTATTAAAAGCATATTAGAGTCTGTAAAAAATTTGTACTGGTTGGTCCAAGAGAAATTAACTACTTTTGAGATTTGAATCACATATCTCACACAGTCAGCACATCACAGACAGTTAGATCGATATTAGACGGTCTAGATTTGAAGCTTTGTATTGTTAATAAATGTGGTTGAGTCTAATTCAATCTTACAAAACTAGCTTATAGGGTGAGGACTGTCCGATGTTATACTCTTAACAGTTATATAAAAGTTAAAAACAATATCAAAATCTATTTGCTTTTTGCACCGTTGAATCTCAATCTAACAACTACTGACTACTGATGTGGTGATTGCGCAAATGCGTGAGATTGTGACCTGAGGAATCCAAATCCCTACTTTTGCAAGGTTTACTTCGAAAACAGGAAGTGAAATACATCCACATGTGCTCAACATCACAGTTAAGATTACAAGCATCTGATGCAGCACAAGGTAGGGGCTCCAAATGAAGAATTCTTCTTGCTTCTCTTTCAAGCAACCATATGTTTACATAGAGAATTTGATCCACAGACATTGCTTTCTTCACATATGATTCTTTCCCTCTCTTTTTAGTTTTTACAGCTTATATTAATCCTTTTCTCCTTCTACCAACTTCAAATATAGTAACCATTATCAATTTTTGTAGATAGAATCTCTAGTCCATGATGAGAGTAAGATTTCTTACATGCTTCATCATTGTTTTATGCACTCAAGACATTTCAACTTTGGGTTTACATCAAAATTCCCGTTCGCAACAGAGAGGTCTAAACTCATCAAATAGCGACATACAAACAAAGCAACCTATTAGTAGTAAAGCATTCTTCAACTTTTTTAAGAATCATTTCCTGAAATTATAGTTATGCTACATTTCGGTTTTTGCTTCTGTGCTAATACTAAAGTTTTCTTTTATTCTATAAAGATGTAGGAAACTACGGAAGCATAAAGGAGGAAAAGTTTGAGCAAGGTTATGACTTGATTAAGAAAGCTAATAGAGGAAAAGGAACTACCGGTGCTGCAAATGTTAATGACCGTTCTGAACCTCGCCGTTCTAAAAACTCTGCCTCATCCATGTTATCTTGGATTTCAACTGTGTGTGTAAGCTTTGTTTTAATATTTGTTTTCTCCTTCCATGCTAAGCTGTTTTGAGTTTTATCACATTTTTAGTATCACATTCTTCGGTTCGAATCTTGGGATTCTTTAGAATAGAAGAGCATCTGGTACATTGTAAAGTATTGTTGTTCTTCCAAATTCTCAGAACAACCATTTAAAACATTAACATGAATAAATGTTTCTAGTTAAGCCTGTCACTTACTTTTATTTGGGTTTGAAACTGCAATACCTCTCTTCTCCGCACTGTGTGTGTGAGTTTCTAGGCGCGTAGTAGTGTCCGGTCGATGAACGGTAGGATGGAAACATCTAGGCCGCGAGCTACGTCTGACCATGTATCGATGAAGTGAACACCAGAAGCTTCATCTCCATGTGATGCTCCTCCATATTTGAAATATGTTACCTGCATAAATTGTTGCATGTAGCAGAGTTATGGAAAAATTAATCACAAAAATTTGAATTTAAGTTGCAAGAAAATATGGTATCTTCTTCATTTCATATTGTTCATTCCACACAAACAATTTGACTTTTGTAATCAAGTAAACATATTTTAGTGACAAAACAATTAAAAAGGTTCTATGAAATTAATGTATGATTACATGTCTTTTCATCAAAGGTAGGTGAATTGAGTCAACAAAAAAAATCAAAGATAGGTGAATTTGTCAACAACCAAATATCAAAGATAGGTGAAGATGATGACAAATTGTTCAATTCAAAAATTAAAAGCATGCAAAAGAAGAAAATTCATGACATCATTGGGAATCATTGTGAAGTTGGGTTGAGCAGCCCCTCCAACAAAAAAAAGTAAAATAATATTATATTATTGATGGATGGATTATTATATTTCTCGTAGCCAAATGTCATCAACTGTGACTTCTTTACACCATTGCAACTATGCAACCATTTGAGACAAACCTCTTCAATTTGACATAAAAAATGTATTTTTACATGGTGATTTTGAAAAGAAAGTATATATGAAGCAATGTTTTGTTGCTAAGGAGGAGTCCTCGACTATAGTTTGTAGGTTACACAGGTTTGGTGTTAAACAATTTCCAAAAGCTTAATTTGGGAGATTCAACATTGTAGTGCAATAGTTTAGCATGGTTTGTAATGAAGCCGACCATTTAGTTTTTTTATCGTCACTCAGTCTAATGATGCATTTATCGTATTGTATATGTAGATGATATTGTCATAACTGGTAGTATTTAATAGGAAATATTTCAGTTTAAACAACATATTTCTAATCAATTTTAGACAAAAGATCTTGGTAAACTTTGCTATTTTTTGGGTATTGAAGTAGCTCAATCTAAACATGGTTTGGCAATTTCTCAGCGAAAATATGCTACTAATATTTTAGAAGAAACAAACTTATTGAACGCTAAACCAGCTGATACCCTTATGGATGCAAGTGTCAAACTCTTATCCAATCAAGGAGAGTTTCTATCTAATTCAAGAAGGTATAGGAGAATGGTTGGAAAGTCAAATCATCTCATAGTCACTCGTCCAAACATTTATTTTGCAGTTAGTGTAGTAAGTCAGTTCTTAAATTCTTCTTGTCAAGAATACAAGAACGTTGTCATCCAGATTCTGAGATGCATCAAAAGTGCTTCAAGAAAATGTCTTATTTCTGATGATAAAAGACATACTCAGATAGTTGAATATTTTGATGATGATTTGGTAGTCTCAGCCATTGATAGACGATCCATATCTGAGTATTGTGTAGTTGTTGGAGAAAATCTCATATCTTCAAAAAATAAGAAATAAAATGTAGTTGTAAGATCAAGTGTCGAGGTATAATGTAGGGCTATGATACTGGTAACATGTGAGCATGGTTGTCAAAATTGAGATATCGATAATTATCATTAGGGTATAGAAAAAGCGTAAATCATAGAATCGTAACAAGGATCGTAAGATCTCAACAAATAGACAAAATTATAAAAATAATTAGGAAAAATTACTTTAACATAAAATTTTCATTAATTTAATCATTAATAGCAAATATTTATTCAAAAAAATATAATAAAAGGATTTGATTTGAATTTATAGAAAAGATAGAAAATGGGAAGAAATTCATTCATTGTATGATTAATCGATACATAATTCTCAGAGTTGCAGTACCTTTTATTGGCGGACAATCCTTATTTTAGAATTCTCAAAAGCTCATTTAAAACATTACAAGTCTCAAAACCCTAAAATATGTGTGCACAACAGTTATCGTTAGTTATGAGTCAGTTTATGGACCGAATCCAATTGTTTAATGACCTGATTGAAACAGATCTAAAGCTGGTAAGAACAAAAAATGGATTGTCGGGATCTCAGACCTTTGTGCCACTTAAATCGGTGGTCGGTTGCCAAAGCGTAAGATCGTAAGATTTTGGGAGTTAGAGCGAGATCCCGACAACCATGCATGTGAGTTTATTTGGTTGAAGTAGTTGTTCAAAGAATTTCAATTTGAAGAAGCAAAATCAATGACACTTGTATGTGATAACCAAGTTGCATTGCATATTATTTTGTATCCAGTTTTTCATGAGAGGACTAAACATATTGAGATAAACTATCATTTTGTTCGAGAGAAGATCAAATCAAGCGACATTGTCACAAGCATTGTCAATTCTAGGGATCAATTGGCAGATGTGTTTGCAAAATTCTTACAAGATCATAGAACTAATTATATGTGTGGCAAACTTAGCGCATTTGATTTATATGCTCAAACTTGAAGAAAAATGTCGATATTTGTATATATATAGAGAGAGAATATTGCATAAAATATTTACTTTTTATCTAGAATAGAATAGAATATATCATACTGTATTTCTTATGTAATTAATACGATGAATTGTATATTTCACTATATAATTCAACTTTTATTTCAGACACGCGTTGTATCTAAATATCTGTCATTCTTTTGTACTACAACACTCATGATGAATGAAGAGTCAAAAGAGTTTCTCAGTCATACAACTATATTTATTTACCCTGCATGTATTGCACAATGATTTGAACTTTAAAACAATAAAATAAAAAAGGTATATTACTTCACTGTAATAAACCTTTTGGATTGAGGCTTTACAACATAGAATTAACTTCATCTGTAAGATGGTATAAGCATGCTTTGGAATATTATCTCTTGCAGTCAGCACATCACGGACAGTTGGATCGATATTAGACAGTCTAGATTTTAAGCTCGGTATTTTAAAGTTAAAAACAATATCAAATCTATTTGTTTTTTGCACCGTTGAATCTCAATCTAACAACTATTGTTATGCTGATTGCGTGAATGTGTGAGATTGCGATCAGAAGGAATCCAAATCCCTACTTATGCAAGGTATACTTAGAAAGTAGCAAGTGAAATACATCCACATGTGCTCATGACGGTTAAGATTACAAGCATCTGATGCAGCACAAGGTAGTGGCTCCAAATGAAGCATTCGTCTTGCTTCACTTTCAAGCAACACAGAATTTGATCCACAGACATTGCTTTCTTCACATATGATTCTTTCCCTCTCTTTTTACCGATTATATAAACGCTTTTCTCCTTCTACCAACTTCACATATACTAACCATTATCAACTTTTGTCGATAGAATCAACAGTCCATGATGAGAGTAAGATTTCTTACATGCTTCATCGTTATTTTATGCCCTCAAGCCATTTCAATCTCGGATCTACATCAAAATTTCAGTTCGCGACAGAGAGGTCTAAACTCATTAAATAGCAACATACAAACAAATCAATCTATTAGTAGTAAGCATTCTTCACCTTTTTAAGAATCATTTCTGTTTTAGCTTCTGTGCTAATACTAAAATTTTATTTTTATTCTATTAAGATGTAGGAAACAATGGAAGCGTAAAGGAGAAAAAGTTTGAACAAGCTTACGACACCATTAAGAGAGCTCATAGAGGAAAAGGAGCTACTAGGGGTGGTGGATATATTAATGACCGTTCTGAACCTCGCCGTTCTAGAAACTCTGCTCCATCCATGTTATCTCGGATTTCAACTATGTATGTAAGCTTTGTTTTAATATTTGTTTTCTTCTTCCATGCTAAGTTGCTTTGAATTTTCTCACATTTTTTAGTGTCACATCTTGTACATCATAAAGTATTGTTGTTCTTCCGAATTCTCGGAACAAGCATTTACAACATTAGCCTGAGTAAATGCTTCAAGTTAAGCCTTTCACATTTTTCTATTCTCAAATGTTTTCTTAAAGAACTTCTGAAAATATGTTGAAAACAGCTGATGGACAATGCCATAAGTTGTTTGTGCATGTTCTCCGAAATAGTCTCACAAAACTCATGCGAGCAGACAAATATTTAAAGATAGAATATCAAATGAAAAATAACTACAATACCCTTAATAGGGTTTTTCAAATGTTTGAAGTCTTGTGCAAACTGCAACATCAAATTAAATTGTTTACAGATTATAACACTTACAACAGATTTACTCTATTGTAAGGTGAAACAAGTCTCATTAACATTTGCATAGAGTTCATCAAAAGTACCTAAAGAAAAACCAAAAAAACTAGGAAACAAAACACCACCTTAGAAACACAGTGCTGTTCCAAATGTTTCTTCAAATATCATACAAGAATTCCTTGAACACTTTCATATGCTCGTGTTGAAGAGCAATCGCCACGGATAAACTTCCATCATTTGTTGAGCTTGGAATTATAAAAGAAAGTCCCTCATAAGCAATCCCACCAGGTCCCATGAAAATAGGCCTTCCCCAACCGAAATCAGCATCGTGAATCGGAAGCCTAGCCCAACTAGTAATACCGAGATTGGGACACTTGAAAGTATGTGCACCGCGAACAAGAGCTTTAAGATCAGGTTGTAGCTCTAGAAAATCAAGAGCTGATCTTAAATACTCGTTGTCCATTCGCGACAACGCGTTGTGGATTCTACTTGCAGCATACCATGTTGGTTTCGACATGAGATCACCTGCTATAGCTATAGGTGTTGTTGTGAATATCACATTTCCGAAGTAACCCGGTGGAGGAGGAGGCTGCAATCTCGCCCTTCCATCAGTCGCAATATACAATTTGGTTTCTTGGTCATCAGGCAATGATCTTGCTTTGCACACGCTTCTCCAAACATGACCGGCTAACATCTCGTAAGAACTGTAATGGACTGTATTCCCGGCTTCTTTCGACTTAGCTTTCAACGTGCTGAGTTGCTCGCGAGTCAATTTGAAAATCGACACTGCTGCGCCGTCTGAGCCTGGTTTTGTAGGCTGTTGGGAAGTCCTCATGGATGGTGGTGGCTTGTATTCAATGTGATCGAAAACAGGCCGAGGAGGATCGCGGGCGCGTAGCAGTGTCCGGTCGATGAACGGTGGGATGGAAACATCTAGGCCGCGAGCTACATCTGACCATGTATTGATGAAGTGAAGACCAGAAGCTCCATCTGCTACATGATGTTGCATACCAACACCAAGTGATACTCCTCCACATTTGAAATATGTTACCTGCATAAATTGTTGTATATAGCAGAGTTATGAAAAAATTAATCACAAAAATTTGAATTTCAATTGCAAGAAAATATGATATCTTCTTCACTTCATTTTTTTTTCCAATTTGATATTTCGGTCCGGAGGCTCACCCGAGTGAGCACAGAGACCTCAAAGTTCAAAAACCGCTTCAGAAATACAGATTAAATATCAAAAGATATTTTTATATTGACAGCAGGAGTTGAACTCAGGTGTGAGCCAACTCTTTGTCAATTGAGTCAATCTGATTTATTTTACAAAAACAATTTATTTTTTTAAAACATATTTTAGGACAATTAAAAAGGTTCTATGAAATTAATGAATGATTGATTACATGTCTTTTCATCAAAGGTAGGTGAAATGAGTCAACAAAAAAATCAAAGTTAGGTGAATTTGTCAACAACCAAAAATTAAAGATAAGAAAGTTCATGACATCATTGTAGTGTGGTTGGGTTCAGCAGCCCCTCCAACTCCAACAAAAAAAGCAAAATAATATTATATTGATATATTGGAATTGAGTGATGGAATATTATATTTCACACAGGGATGGCTATAATTGATTGTGGAAGGTGCTTCACTTTAATAATGCTCTTGTCTTTGTGGAAAATGTGTCAATAAAGGATAGGGTAGTATATAAAAACAAAAACAAATAAAAATTTTAGCCATGCACAATATTTAACATTTAGAATATCATAAAAATAAATAAAAATATATAACACTTAGAATATCATAAAAAAGACCATACATCACTCAATTAATCACATGTGAAAATATAATTAAAATTTTTTTTGATATAGAAAATATAATTAATTTAATTCCCGTTAAAAATATAATTGAATCATAAAGTTGAATTAACCACTGTTTTAATTGTAAATTAAGTTAATTATAAAGTAATTAACTGAATTAATTACATTTCTATAAGTGATTAATCAAATATCTTATAATGGATAAAAAAAGAGAGGTGTAAATATATTATTACCAATTTTTTCTCTTCATTTTCTTCTTTTACTTGACTCTCTAGGAAAAGATTCTCTCTTTTAAAACTATTTAATTTAAGATATAATTAAAATTATAAAAAAAAAGTATAAATTTGGAGTCGTCACTATCATGATTCATGGGAATAAGTACTGAAAATTTCTATTCATGAAAGATTCACATCAATAATAATAACAAATTGGCAATAAAACCTCTTTGCACATACACATAAAAATAAAATCAATAAAAAACAGTCTCAATTTCTAAACTATTCATAATTCATTAGATCAGTTACTTGTCAGATAAGGAACTCATAAACTAACAAATAAATGAAGAAAAATTGAAACGCACCTGTAACACTAGAAGGGGATACGTTTGGATTCCACGCGAATAATCAACGGCTGGAATAAGCTGACGGAGCTCAAGTGTAGGAGCAAAGTCACCAAAATCATCGATAACTCCGCTTGTATCAGCCTCCACAAAGAGCACTCCCTGACCATCACAATCAATCTCAACACGGCCGTCTTCATCACGACGAAGACGACCAGCCATTGGATAAAAAGGAACAAGCACTTTGCTGAGAGCTTCTTTCATAATTTTGGCGTCAAAGAAATTCGACGCACTATTATTTCGATAGAAATAAACACTAGGCGTGTGAAAATTCGGTACCACCAAATCAACGTTGGAGTTCCACACCGTCCGTCGTGTAACCTCCTCGGACGGTCGTACCATGGTCGAATCTCTCACATTTATGATCATTTTTTATGTCCTATAAACCATAAACCATGATCATTAATTAATTGTTAGTATATAACATCACTATCATTCATTTCATTTATTCAACAAAAGATCAATGAGTCAAAAGAACACACCAAAAGACAATATAAATACATACAGTACCTTTTTTTTTACACAATAATAAAACTTACTTTAATATACTAAATAAATTTCTAAACTGAAAAATTATGATAATTTAATGAAGAAATATCTCCAAGAATCAAATTGTAATTGCATGTAAAACAAAACAATCGTTACATAATTGAAGATTAAGACACGTGAATCCTCAACTTCCTTGTATATCAAACAAACAAATCCTAAATATTTATGAAATAATTGATACTTGAATTTTCTATATCATCTCTTTCACTTTGATTGTTAAATTACTATGAATAATGCGATTTTGATAAAATAAAATAAAAAAACTACACTCGTAGTTGATTCAAACATGCACTATGATCCGACTTGAAACCAAAGAATTCAAATTGAAAAGAAAAAAAAAAACATGGCTACAAAATTCGATAAACATTGGAATATAAATTGAAATGAATGAAAATAAAAAAGAGAAAGAAACATTGTTGTTACCTTGAAGAAGAGAAGAGGTGTTGTGTTGAGGTGGTTTGGGATTTGGTGTGTGTGAAATTGAACAAGAGTCCTATGGTATTGAGGTTCTTATTATAGGACTTCTACTTTTTATATGACAAGAAATACTAGAGTAAGAAAGTGTTGGGTTTGTTCACTCACCAACTCCCCCCAACCCTATCCACCAATTATGACTTGCCACGTAAGCAACAGCCCAAAGCATACACAATGAAATCATAATTCGACAAGCCATAAATACCTTTCAATTGTTAAAGTTGGTAAGATAGGGACCTATGTTCTTTTAATTTAGTATTAATAATAATCATAAATTCTTAAATCAAATTAGTACAAAAACTAATTTAAAAATGGAGTTTTCTTTTCCAACTAATTTGATGTTGGAATTTCTTTATTAGTTCAACTAATGCCAACGAGTTCTTTTAATGATTTGTTTTCTTGCTGTGAGGAAATGTTTTTTATAAATAAAGTATTGCACATGATTTTAGTGACAATAAAAACATTTAACTCTAAATTATAATAGAGGTTGATTGTACTTTGAAGACGACCGCATTTGGTTCTAGAAGGGATAAAGTATTTGTTAATGTTATCACTTTTATAATTTTAAAAAAAACAAAATTTTACTCAATACGTTTAAAATTGTTTTCTTTTTAGTTATTATTTTAAAGTTATTTTAAAACTATATACACTATTTTAGTATTTTATTATCTTAATAAAAAATGCAAAAAAAAAAAGAGTATACTGACTATAAAAAACAATCAATCACAAACGTATATTTCATTAAATTAAATATTTAATTTTAAAATATTAATATAATATAGTTGAATGTTATAATTTTATTAAAAATAATATAAAATTAATTTACAATAACAATATACTAATTTTAATTTTATAAAAAATATTATTATTAAAATAATAATAATAATAATGAAAATCATATTAAATTTTAAAAACGAATTTAGTTTGACAATGGTTAGTAATTTGGAGAATATTGTGTAATTGGAGGTGTTATATTCCCTCACCAACTCCTATCATATTCAAAGGAAATTAAAATGGGTTTGTGTGGGGGTGGGGTGGAAGGCAAGTTCTGGTGTTGTGGAAAGGGGGCCCAGGTAGTGCAAAAAACAAACGTCAGTCAGTCGCGACATATGACGCATTTTAGTCTGCCAACCACGACTTTCTTCGAGGCTTATGGGATAAAGCTTTCAATTTAATTCATATATTTTTAGTTTACTTGGAATAGATTAAATAGTGTAGTAAAAATAAAAAAATAATTGAAAATTATAAAACGTTAAAGTATAAAAAAATGTAAAATTTGTAGATATATTTGATTAGCCATTTGAATTAATTTATACAAAGTTGAGAAACCTTTGAGAGATACACACCACTTATCCACTTAAAACTTTAAGGTGATAGGTGAGTGAATTCTCCCACTTATATATTCTCAAGTCACCACATTCATATCCAATGTTGAACTTTTTTTCCACTTACTCATACTTACATTATTATTCTAACAGAAATCTATTAATCATATGAAGAATTTATATCTATCTTGATGAACAATATTGATATCGATACACAATAACAATGAAAATAAAAAAAATTGAGGAAAAAATAAAGTAAGAGTTTGACAAAATATGGAATAAGATGTTGATTTATGTAGAGTAACTCCCTGCCCACAAATTGTGAAAAATCTTATTCATTTTCCAACTGCAAATTTATATGAATACAAGTTAGGTTAAATAATAGGGATAACTCCCTCTATTTATAGTTTTAGATTAGCTTGCTCTCTAAGCCAAAGTCCAAAACACAAAATCTCAAAATAATTAATTTAGATCTAAGTCGAAATACTGTGTGAAGCAAACTGCTTCGAAACTTCGACATACTATACAACTCGACACACTTACACTATTTCAACACAATCTTCCTTCCGTCGAGCAACCTGCTTCGACACAAGGAATTACAACTCAATACACCACGTAATTCATTGTGTCTAAGTTATATGTATTCATCATAGCTCTTAGTCTTCTGAACACTTCGACATGTACTCCCTTCGTCATGATGTCTGCAATCTGATTCTCAATTTTGCAGTGTTCCAAGTTCATCTTCCCTTGTGCTACCTACTCATAAAGATAATAAAACCTCATTTCGATGTGCTTGTTTCTGCCATGTGTTATCGGATTCTTCGCCATATTGATAACTAACATACTATCGATCTTTGTGGTAATATCTCTATGATTTTTTCATGTAATCTCTTCGACCAAGTTCACCATCCATGTTGCTTGACATGCACAAAGAGAAGTTGTTATGTACTTTTCTTCACATGATGACAATGCTACCCCTAGTTCTTTTCTCGATCTCCAAGCAACTGGTGTTCCGCCTAGCATAAACACATATTCGGCTATGAATTTTTTATCCTCAACATCACTACACCAAATTTGAATCCATGTATTCCACTAACTTGCATTCTTTTCCTTTATCAGTTGCAGAAAACAGAATGCCATAGTCGAGAGTTCCTTTCAAATATTTTAGTATCCTCTTCGCTGCTGCTAGATGTAATACACTGCAATTTTGGTAAAACACTGCTTTAGTAATGTTTTGCTTAATGTCTTGACATTTGATGTAAATCATCTCAATTGATTTTGAATGATGTCAAAGAAGATGTCTTAACATCTGCCTTCTGATCTGAACGTGTTTTTCAGATTTTCTGTTTCCTGTTTTTAAGCGCGTCTTATTCAGATTTTTTGGTTTATAACTTGCAAAAAATATGGAGGAATATTTTTTGATCTGTCTTATTTTTATGGATTATATCTTGGCCTACTTTCATGGAGATATTCAAGGGATTCAATATATTGAAATATTTGTTTTTCAGCCCAAGCCCATAAAGAAGCTGCCATGCCTTTATAAGGACTTGCAACCTTATTCGTACAATTGCAACAATTGAAGAAAAATATATTCTTTGTGTTTAAAAGTCCGGATCTTTTAATTGTAATACACTTTAGTATTGTTTCAATACTTGAGTTGTAATTTGTTAGTTGAGTTGTAAATTATGGATCATTCATAAGCTTTTAAGTATTGAATGATTGAGGTTTTTTAAACTTAATATTTCTGTTGTTTTTCACTGTTAGTGATTGAAGGGATTTGAGGAGGGCCTCATACTTAGGTGTGTCTTAGGTAGAAGTATAGCACGAGTAGTGATTAAGTGATTAGATCGTAAACTGGTTGTTTATTGGGGGTCTATAAATTAATACTATTTAGTTGACTTATCCTTGGCTTGGTAGCCCCTAGAGTACGTGTTGTTGTACACCGAACTGGGTTAACAATCCCTTGTGTTTTTACTTCTTTTATATTGTTGAATTTTATATTATCCTCAGATATTTGTGTCGTGACATCTCCTTCGACATCATATATCTGATACCAGAATTTTAATTAGTATCAGAGCAGTCATCCTGCTCTGTATCTGGGTGAGATTTAGGGAAGATACTTTCTGGTACTATGGACAAGAAAGGAGGATTTGTGAACAGACCACCCATTCTGGATGGAAGCAATTATGACTATTGGAAACCACGTATGGTGGCCTTTCTAAAATCTATGGACAACCGGACTTGGAAAGCTGTTTTAAAAGGATGGAAACACCTTGTTAAATTGGGAGAAGATGGAGAACCTACTTCTGAGTTAAATCCAGAAGAAGATTGGTCTAAAGAAGAGGATGAAATTGCACTTGGAAATTCTAAATCCTTGAATGCTATATTCAATAGAATTGACAAGAATATTTTCAGATTGGTGAATACATGTGAAGTAGCTAAGGATGCCCGGGGGATTCTTCAATCTACCCATGAAGGCACATCCAAAGTTAAGATATCAAGACTTCAGTTTCTCACCACCAGATTTGAAAATCTGAGAATGAAGGATGATGAAAGTATTAATGACTTTCATATGAATATTCTTGAGATTGCTAATGCATCTAGTGCTTTAGGAGAGAAAATACCCGAAGACAAATTGGTGACAAAGATGCTTAGGTCTCTCTCCAAGAGATTTAATATGAAAGTTACTGCCATAAAATAAGCACAAGACATTGACAAGATGGGAGTGGATGAACTTGTTGGATCCCTTCAGACATTTGAATTAAGCATCAATGAAAGATCTGAAAAGAAGAACAAAAGCATAGCTTTTGTAACCAATACTGAAGATGAAGAGGAGGATTGTAATCTGGATACAGATGAAGGAATATCTAATGCTTTAGTTCTGCTTGGAAGACAGTTTAACAAAGTAATAAAGAAGATGGAAATAAACCCAAGATCGAATGTCAAGAACATCTCATGTGACATCTATAAGTAAAATGAGTTTGGAATAAAAAGGGATGAAGAAAAATCCACTCAAGGGAA